CCCCAATTGTACCGCCCCCGCCCTCTCCGGCCGCTCCCGCCGCCCCGGTAGCCGCCGCTATCATCTGAATATCCTCCTTGTCTGCCGCCGCCGCCGCCAGGAGGTCCGTCGTAATATCCAGCGTTGCGCCCGCCGCCACCTCCGCTGTACCCGCCGCTGCGATTTCGGCCCTGGTAGCCATCGTCATAGCTGCGGTCCTGATAGCCCCAGCCACCTCCTCTGCCCTCTGGAGCACCCCTCCAGCCCCCTTGCTGGCGAGGGGGGCCTCCCCGCCAGCCCCCCCGCGGAGGTCCGCTGTCCTGGTAGCCGGGGTCCCCACGATCGTCCCAGCCTCCTTCCTGATAACCGCTTCTGCGGCCCCCGCGGCCCCTGTAAGCCATTGCAGCAAGCCCGATCTGGCTGCACACTCAGCGACGTGCTGGTGCAGATGGACTATATGAATTGAATTATGTATGACCACGTGACACGCTGCATGTGGCACTTCACAATCGAAGGCCATCCAAGCGTGCTGCTGTGAGAGCTGCTGCACGCCACGCCGCTCCCCAGCTGCGCCAGCTGCTGCTGTGGCTTATGCTGCTGCTGATGCTGCTGATGCAAACTGCGCACTGCAGCACTGTAGTGCTGTGCTGCGTGCAAGCATGTGGCATTGAGGCAGCCAACATGGGAAACGACAACATTCAGCCCCACGGTATTTGCGCACCCGCTAAAACTTCTGCTAGTAGTCGTCAAAGTTGACTTTTATTGACTGTAAAGGCCGCTGCAACCCCATCCTTATACACAATGTGCCTCATAGAAGTAGCACAGATGAAAAGCTGGTATCCAAACCTCAGCTAACACCAGCCGCTCAATCCTTGGACTGCTCCACCCACAGCAACGCGAGGAGTGCCGCCTCCCCAGCCAGCACGGATGCTCAAGCACCGTGGTCGCAGAGGCACTACAGCAAGCGCTGCCGATCTGGATGCATTACCCGAAAACGTGCCACTACGAAGGACGTCATAATGTCATCCCAGGTGGGGCTTAGTTGGCTGGCTCCAGGGAGCCGACTGCGACTACGTACCAAGGGCCTGTCTGCCAACCCCAATGGCTACAAGACACGAGTGGCTTCGCTGCAACCGCCTGAGCTTCCCGTGGCGCCAGTTTCGCTATTCCTGAAAGTGTCGATGTCACTGCCACTTTTGGCAGTTGAAGCCGGCGAGGCTGGCACTGCTCCTCGTGCTGTCCCAGCTGCTGCAATTTCCCAGCCAGGCAGCCATGGTTATCTGTGCACCCCCCGGAAGCACCGGCAGGCCAACCATGCCTCGCATCCTCTATGTCGCCTGCTGAGGCGTATCCTTGGCGCACACCTCCGCTCCTGTTTTCCGGCATCATCGTCCTCAGACCATTGCGGCTGGTGCTGCCGGGCACATTGTGACGGTGGCATCAGCTTTGGGTACAAGAGTTGAGTCACACCGGCCTGAAACAGAAAACTTGTAGACAGCTCGTTCATATTTCCCGAAAAAAAATCAGTCAAATCTTCCCTGGTCTGGGTGCCGCGCGTTCGTACACTGAACGACGGCAGGAACAAGTGTGCGTTGGGGGAAGGGGGCAAGGGACGGCGACTGTCATACGAGACAGGCAAGGTAAGGCACATGCAGGAAAGGTGGTCGAGACACGCCAGGAGGTGTTCAATGCTGTTGTTGTTGGGGCAGCTGTCTTATTGACAGGTTGCAGCAAGGCGGACCGGTTAGCCAGGGCAGGCTATTGGGTTGGGACACACCTTTCTCACGGGCAAATGAGCAAGGCAAACAATAGCAAGAAGTACAAGCAAGCAAACCTGTTTGACAATGTGCAAGCCCACGAATCCCGTAAGCAAGCACAAGGGGGCACGTTGCGCAGCAAAGAATGCAGGAACACACCTGTCGTCATAACCCAGATGTTGCGAAAAGGGTGAATGGGAGTCGAGGGGTGCGACAGCGCAAAAGATCCCAAAATCCCCCAAAGCTTTTAATGTGCTGGGTTGTTGAGATGCGGATATTGCGGGCTGTCAGGGAGGCCTGAAGACCCAGCTGAAGGGTGTGAACATGCCGTCGATGGAAGGCCCCATTTAATTCAAATTATTGTGCGTTTTCAATAAAAACGCACATCGCTGATGCACAGCTTTTGCTCGGAGGATTGGTTGCTCTTGAACTCAACCTGCAGTTTTGCAAAGGGGGCAGGCCGTTGCCTATCAGCATCGCAGTTGCATCTGGACGCGTCCACATCTTGAAAGCCAAGCACACTCAGCGACCATGTGGGGCTGCACATGCCCAAGCCTCTGCAGCAATGTTCTGCAGCCCTCCACCACCCTTCACCTCTCCCCGCCCAAACCAACCCCCACGCCATGCTGCCCTACCTGATTGACGTCCCAGGCCGAGATGCTGCTACTGCAGCCTCCAAAGGATGCGTTGCTGTCCCAGTTCTGGCTCCAGGCAAATGCGCCCAGGGGAATCTCGAATGTGGCGGAGGTGCCCTCCCACTTGGAGGCCTTGAGGCTGGTCAGACTGATGGATCGGCAGGAGCCCTGGGCAGGGGGGGGTTGTTGAAAGCAGGACCGTTGTGAGATTCTCCATTGGCACAACGACGGATACGCGGAAAAGATCACAAAAAGATGCAGGAGCACTCTTCAAATGCGTCCAACACTCCTCATGCGCAAATTGCAGCATGCTAGCCCGGAGATTGCAAGCACAAGCATAACCATAACCAACAGCACTCAATTTGCGGGAGTGCCTGGCCACGTTTGGTCACCGCCTCCCGTGCAAAGCGCACCTTGTCGGACGAAGAGAGGGTGATGCTGAAGTCTGGAGTCTTGCCGCCATCAAGCTGCGCCTTGAAGCTAACACCCTTCTTGTCCTGCAGGGACCCCTGATTGGTCTTGAACGCTTGGGCACCATACTCGTTTGCGGCACCGCACTGCGCGCCGCTGTTGCCTTCTATCCAGGACTTCCATCCATAGCTGGTGGCGAGGGGTTGAAGAAGTTGCGAAGGTCCAGTTGCGGAGGCCTCAAGTGAGCCAGCGATGCCATTATAGGAGAGACGTGCAGGTGCAAGCTCACATCCATGACTAGCACAGAGCTGTAAACATTGGCACCTGTTCCCAAGCTCAACGAAAACCACTCAAATCAGAGGCCGCACCTCATGCCGAGCCAATTTGACACCCCGCTGGCGTCAAAAAGGCCGCCCAGCGGGCCCCTGGTCCACCCAGTGCTGGATGAAGCCGAGGCCGATGATGAGGCAGAGGCCACGGCTGTTGATGATGAAGTTGAGGAGGATGCCGAGGCAGAGGCAGACGCCCAGGAACCAGACCCGTTGCCGCTCTCGCCAGAGCTTGAAGCTGAGCCATCACTGCCGCTGTTGCCGCTGCCGCTCTGTTCGCCCTTGAGGGGATCGTATTTGCAGGTCCTGTCAATGCGGGGCCGTTTGTCCCAAGAGGACTGCCAGCCGCTGGGGGGCTGTCGGTCAGGATATGTGGGGCGGGTGCCGGATGGCAGCGTGGCCGGCTTGTCGGGGCAGTGGGAGCACGGCACCTCGCCTGGAAGGGG